TCAGCATCGTGCTGGTCTTCTGGGCCTGCTTCCTGCCGTTTTGGATCTGGCAGCTGGTGCGGCTCTACAGCAGCTCCCTGCAGCTCACCACCCAAACCCAGAAGTGCATTAACTACCTAGTGACCTGCCTGACCTACAGCAACAGCTGCATCAACCCCTTCCTCTACACCCTGCTCACCAAAAACTACCGGGAGTACCTGCGCAACAGGCACCGCAACTTCTACAGGTTCACGTCGTCCTTCCGCAAGCGGGGCTCCAACCTGCAGTGCTCCTGGGGACGGTCCATGTCCTCCAGCAACCAGTACGACTACAGCTCGGAGGCCCTGGGCATGGCCACGCTGAAGGACAAGTGAGGAGGAGGAGGCGCTCCGGACACACCGGGACCAGCAGAGCGTCTGGCCAAGGTAGGGCTTCGGGACACCTCAGCCCTGAAGGGGCCTCGAAACTCATTTCTGGCTCGCTCTCTCTAGTGAGGGGCAAGAAGTTGCCTGAACTCAAGTACTATGAGATGAGCCTGAATTCCCACCTGGCTGTTGGAGGGGTCCTGCTGGGAGCCAGCAGCCATTTGGGACAAACCCTGCAGGGTTTTGGGTACAGAAGGTGAGGTGGATACTTTGTTCAGTTCTGACACAAACTGTTTCCACGCTTTGCTGAGTTTTGCCCGGATCCAGTTCCACACACCGTTTCTCCTGTGTGGTTTCTCAGTGCTGTCTTCAGGCTACAGCTGGGTCAGAGCTGCAGAAGTTGGCCCAGTATTGCTTCAATTTAGCTGCAAGCCTTGGGTTTGCCCTGTGTGTTACCACTGTCTATTTCTGGAGTGCAAAAAGAGACCTTTAAGTCCCCTTTCCTATGTCCTGTTACATTACTGTGCACTACAGTTTCATCAAGCTTAAAGTCTCTATTTTAAAATTCATTGCAGCAGCACTTCCAACTCCAAGCATTCAAAAACCACAAGGTAAGCTGTCAGAAGCCACGGGATTACCTAAAAAAAACCCTTGTAATTTTTAAAGGTTTCCACCTAAGGTGATTTGAATTTGCCACTGATTTTTTCTTTTTTAAGTTGGTCCCTTTCTTAAAAGTCAGCAGGGCTTGAAAAACCTGAACGTTTACCTTGGAAAGAAAAAAAAATGTCTTGTAATCCTATCACTCAAAGACCTGAGGCTAAAATAAAAATGACTGAATCCTTTATCAGGAAACTCATTATAAAAGAGACCATTTTTTTCATGACATTTGATCAAAAGCATTTTGCCTCATTGTATTCTACTCATTTTCTCCCTAGTTGGCATCTCACAGTAAACCTTCACCACAGATGCCTGTAAGCATTTAAACAACTGTAAAATGTCAGTTTATAAAATAAATGCTGATTAAAGATGGACCATCATCAGGCTTCCCCTCGCCTGGTCTCTTCACCCAGCTCAGGGGGTTGTATTTGTCAGGGCAGAAGCTGCTGTTCCCAGCTGTGGGGATGAAGTTTGGTTCAATATTCCTTTTCCTTGTTCTGAGACAGACTCTGAGGATAAGTAAAGCATGATATGAGTTGCATAAACTATTGTCAGCAGGCAGTGATGCCCGGGGACTTGTGAAGCAGCAGCAGTGTAAGGAACTGTCATTCCCACTTTTTTATTACACACTCCAGCCCCCATCTGCCTGATGCCCTGCAGTGCCACTGCAATCCCGTGTCCTTGGATGATCCTCTCGTGTCCCACACCAAACTTTAGGGTGTGTTTGTGCCAAAGCAGAGACACAAAGTGCCAACAGCGCAGCAGGGACCGGGAGCAGAGAACATGGCACAGGGACATGCTGGATTTTATGCACCCAACCAAGAGAAAAATGAACCCTGCGGGGCACATGGGGGATGCAGAGTGAGGAAGCACATTCCTGTGCCTGGCACCAGGCTTTCTTCTTAGGGGTGCAGTTGTTGGGGTGCTTTCTGGGGACAGGGGAATAAGTAACTCCCCTGCTCATACTACTTTTAGCCACAGGACTGTCTTTGAAACACTGGGGACCACTTTGTCATGTTCCAGTATTGCACTGACTACCAAGCTGGGCAGCTTAAATAGACCTAACAGTGCCCATTCCTTATGAAACAGGGGGACCAGCACACAGTTCATGCTGGGAATTGGCAGGGAGAGCGGGATTCGGCAGTTTTTCAGAACTTTTCAGAAAATAATGACTTTTTTAATTATTATTCTAAAGTCATTGTTACTTTTCCTTCGGTTCCCATTTCCGAGGCTGGAAGTCACTCCCATATAAGAATAATATCAGAAGGTGGTGTGGGAAGGCTGGAGTACATGCATCTTCTGTGGGGTGTGTTGGGCTGTCCTGCTCCCAGGGAGATGTCCTGGCAGAGCCAAGCATGGCTGCATCTCTTCCAGGTGTTGCACATGCCATTTGGATTCTTGACACAGAGCTGATGTCTCTTGATTTCTCTTGCTTGGCTCGAGGAGAAGATCCTTGGGAGGCCACTCACAGCGTTAGGAGGCTGATAAAGGATGGGGGATTACCATGTACAAAATAGTTGCAAGGCACAGTGTATCTCTCTTAACAGGTATGTCAGGGGAAATAGATGATGGAAGAGCTGGATAGGTATCAAAAAGAGTTTTAAAGGAATGTGCTTTCTGCTTTAAAAAATAATAAAAAAAAAAGTTAAAAAGCCATCCAGCCTGAAAACATATTAATAACAAGGGGAAGCTGAAAAGGAATTCTGCATAGAAAAGAAGAGATAAAAATGCAGATCAGATGAGGTCTACAGCTGTAACCTCATGTGGGCATAAGCAAACAGAAGGGGTTGATTTGGGGGACACTTCCCAAGACACCTCATCAGCCCCCAGAAAGGATTCTGTTATTTGCTCACTGCTGTGAACAGTGTGCTGTGGATGTGCCTTCTGTGCCACATGTTTAGAGCATCAAATGTCAAAGGGTTCATGGAGGAGCATCCAGATGAAAGGCAAAATACTGGATATTTCAAAAAAATTGTGCCCAGCAGGTCAGGGAAGGTGGTTTTCCCCCTCCATTCTGCTCTGGTGAGACCCCACCTGCAGAGCTGCTCCAGCTCTGGAGTCCCCAACAGCAGAAGGATGTGGAGCTGCTGGAGCAGGTCCAGAGGAGGCCACAGAGGTACTCCAAGGGCTGGAGCCCCTCTGCTCTGGAGCCAGGCTGGGAGAGCTGGGGGTGTTCAGCCTGGAGAGGAAAAGGCTTCAGGGAGAACTTAGAGCCCCTTCCAGGGCCTAAAGGGGCTCCAAGAGAGCTGGAGAGGGACTGTGGACAAGGGCCTGGAGTGACAGGACAAGTGGGGATGGCTTTAACTGAAAGAAGGTACAGTTAGATTGGATATTGGGATGAAATTCTTCCCTGGGAGGGTGGGGAGGCCCTGGCACAGGTTGCCCAGAGAAGCTGTGGCTGCCCCATCCCTGGAAGTGTCCAAGGCCAGGTTGGATGGGGCTTGGAGCAACCTGGGCTAGTGGAAGGTGTCCCTGCCCATGGCAGGGGGTGGAACAAGATGAGCTTTGAGGTTCCTTCCAACTCAGACCAGGCTGTGAGTCCATGATTTGTCTCTCACTGGGTTTTTCAGCCAGTGTGTGTTCCATCCCAGCCCCATCCCAGCCCTGCTCCTCTCTCCCATCAGGCTCTGATAAACCCATCTAAGGTTACTCTATCCAGAGAACCAGTCCATTGCATGATGCCCACAGAGCACGTCACTGGGGCTGAGGGGAGCCTGTTTAACACACAGAACTGGCCAGCAGCCCCAGGATGCTGCTGTGTGTGATGAATGATGACTCTGCAGCAGCACAGGGAGCAGACACAGTTCAGACCTTCACAAACACGACTCCTCAGGAACCTCTTGTACTCCTGGGGATCAGAGCTCAATTTAAAAGATGAATTACATAAACAACATCCCTCTTATTGTCCCATCAGACCAGTGAAACTGCCAAAAGTCAGTAGGTTTGATCCACTTCATAAATATCCTACAAGAGCAGATGTTCTGAGTTCCTCTCTGTAACTGGGCAATCCTTGGCTGTTCTTGGTGTGCTCATGTTTTGGGAATGAGGAGACAGTCTTCATGTATCTTCCTTTAAGAACAAAACCAAATTAATCTGGTAGCTCACTTTGGAAAGGGATTGCTGCTGCCTGTCTGGAGCACAGAGTCCTGTCTGGGGCTGACACAACCTTTAGGTTACCTGTGAGGGGTAGCTTTACCTGCTGTATTTTACCTGTACCCAGAGAATTTTGAGGAGGATGTTGGTTTGGCTTTGGGATCTCAGCATTCCTAAGCACATTTCCCTGTGTGCAGGCCATGCAAACCTGCTGTAAGGCAGCTCAGGCAATTTCCCACATGAGGGAGAGGTGTTACCTGTCCTCAGCACTGAAAAGGATGAGTCAGGATTCCCAAAATCATGACATTAGGAGCATCTTGTGTCCACAACCACAGAGGTCACAGAAGTGTATAGAAATTGAGATAGACACATAACCAGAATCTGGATGATGAGACTTTGCAAATTCTATAGATTGTTCCACTTCAGGTAAATCTGAATCATCTCAGGCCAGGGCTGAGTTACAGGGTCAGTTACAACACATGGAGAGTTCCTTGAAAAAGAATTTGACTTTGGCTATTCTACATTCCAGGAAATCAAGTTCTGTGTAACCTGGGATCATTTGTCATACCCAAATCATTGTAATCCTGTGGTTCTTAATGCTTTGGGGGTTTTTATTACAAGTGAAATGTTGCTGCAGGTTCAGTGACACAGCTGCTTCTTCAGCAACAGTGGAGATGGTTGTTTTAGGAAAGGCAACATCCTATTTCTTGATGGGTCAGAGGCTGTCACTGCAAAACTCCATGCATGCTTTACAGGAAAGAAAACAGTTTAATCATTAGAAAATATTTTCCAACACCCTTTAGGATTTAGGGATTTATAACAAAAAAAAGGAAACCCACCCAAACTGTGAAAGAAAAGCAGTTTCATCCTGAGTGTTCTCTCTTTCTTTGATCCCAGGTGGTATCTGCTGCTGCGATGGCAATTTTTCCACTTTCACTTGAAAAGCCAGTCCTTTGTGGGACAAGTGAGAGTGGTTGTTTTCACCAAACACAGGGAAATCCATGTGAACCTTATGGAATTGTTGCAGCCTTTACCTTCAGTCACACATTTTCTTATCATCTTTCTCCCCACTTTTTAAAACCAAATTGGCAATCAACGCTCAAAAGCCCCACATTACAATTCAATCATAAATCTGAGCAAATAATTAACTTTTTCACTCCTGTTTTAGCAGTCAATTTTGGTGTTGAGTTTGTGACTAAATACCAGGGAAACCAGTGAAAGAAAGGGCACTTTATGAGCATTTTGTACCTTCAGCTACCAGCAAGATGCACAACTTGCTGCCATTGCATTAACCAAGGAGAATGAGCAGGATGACTGAGTGAATAATGTGTTATAAACTATTCATAATCACCAGTGTGATGAGAGGAGAAAGTGCATAAACCTCACATCAGAGCCCAGCCCTCAAGCCGTGGGAACAGATAATGCAGAACCTGAGAAACCCTCAGGGCAGCCCCAGAAAGTCAGGCAGCTTTGTTGGGAAGTTTGTCTGAGGAGAGGACTCCCGGCTTTCCCGTCGCATTCCGGAGTCCCTCTGGTGGCAGCAGCGATCTCCCATCCCGAGGTGCCGGGAAGACAATTTGCTTTTTAGTTCAGGCTTTAGAACACAACA